AGAATAGGTCAAGACAGGTGGTAAATTGCCTGCTATCTTCCTTGACCTGATTGACTTCCATATCGAAAATTCTTGGTATCTAGTTTGCTCACAGCATGACAGGGTAGGAAGCTATATATTAATGAGATGAGATCAGCTGCTAATAAAGATTGTGAACAAATAATAATTCCCCTTAATAGGCAACACTTCGGTCTAGTGAGAATATTGTCTTGACACCTAGAACTTTGGAAGCAACTTGCTCCATTTTTCAACTATGTCAATATGGGCCTCACTAGACTACTTGTGTAATTCTGCCACATTTCACACCACAGTCATGTTGTTCAGGCCCCTATAAAGATGTGGCTCAATTCTTATAGCATTGACAGCAAATTTATATAGCTAAGTGCTGCAATTTATCGTAAATAACATTGGTGTAACATTCTTGTACAACTTGCAAGTTATATCCAGTAACAAGCTGGATTGTAAGGTTTCACATCACTGTGTAAAGACTGGTAAGGAGTTTGAAAGGAACAAGGAAGTAGAGCAAAACTGCTCTGTTAGTGGGGTGTGGAAAAGAGAGGTTTATAGCAAGAGACTCTGTGACATTATACAGGGATATGTGCATTTTGCAAATATTGTGAGTGGTATTCCTGTGGCTAAAAATCATTTGATTTCCATTCAAACACAGCATTTTATGGTTCATGAAATAATTTTCCAAACTGGAAGGCTGAACTCATCATAAATGAACCGATGGAGTCCATAATTCAGTCATTTAAACAAATTCATAGCAAAAGCACAACAAAATCCAAATGATTATCAGAGTTATAACCATGTAAGAAGTTTTAAGGTAATTACTTCAAAAACTATCTTTTCTTTTCTTAGCATATGCTTAAATGTTCCAGCCAAGAGGAGAATGTGTTGCTGTGCTTTCTACTAATGCTAGAATATGGATGGCAGGATCCTCATGTCCCTGCTCTTGCTTTTTTTCTATGAGTTATCCTATAGCTTGACTTTGAATGGGATAGAACAAAAATTTACCAACATTACGACAGGGTTTAAAGAGTTAAATTATGTTGACAAGGTGAACAAACTTGTACAGTATTCCTCGAGTTCATGGGGTTGAAGTGTTTGCTAACAGAGGTCTCAAAAATGTTAAATTTGTTCGAGTAGTTACAAGGAAACTATTTGCTCTGGTTGGGAATCGAGAAAAGCAATGATACATGGAACAGGTATGAGCTCAAATTAGAGTGAGGTCATTTTGTGATAAAATCATGGAGCATCTTTAAACAAAGGCTAGCAGAAGTTGAAATGTTCTCTTGCAAATGGCTGTGAATGCTGTGACTATAATCATTTTCAAGATCAAGATTGTTCAAATTTTGTTAGACAAGGTACCAAGGGATATGGAGCACAATCCAATAATTACAGTGGAATTACAATTACATGGTGGAATAGGCTCAAGAGACAAAATGGTCTACCCCAAATCCTATGCTAGTACTAAAGAGCTGTGCTGGAAAACTGAAGAATTTTCCACTTCATATGCAATAACTGTAATATTTAGGCTACATTATAAGTTTCATGTTAGGTAGCTTTCAAAGTTACTGCGATTTTAGTACTTAAGACAATTCTTCCTGTGCACTCAGTAATCATATCTGGAATAAACAATGACTAAGACAGAAAATCATCAAGGCACACAGGTGACAATATCTGGCTATTAGGAAAGGTGTGAATACAGCATCACATATTAACGCTAAACAGTTGTATGATAGCTCTGGAGGTCAGAAAAATTAGTCTTGCTATCATGTTTTAAAAACAATTAAAAATTCATTTTGTGGAAAATCCAGCACAATAACAAATAATGTTTTAATTGCGAACAGAAGAAAAGCAGTTAATTCTCAATTTGTCAGTACATCAATACCATATAAACAGCCCTTAAGTATTAAGTGTGGACTAAGTATCTTAAAAAAAATCAACATTTCAAGAGCATTTAAAATGCTTTCAAATGTTGTATCTAATTTTTCCACACACTCCTTATACAAATATACAAATGCACCTCTTTCTACTATGACGGTTCGAACATCTTTCTCCCTTCAACAGAAAACCAAAGGAAAACAACACCTCTTGGTAAAACTCATTTAAAACCTTGGGTACTGGAAGTGAGATTTTTAATTACATTACATAAATGGTACATTTACAAAAATGATCAGCCTCGTGCCAATAATTGCAATTCTGGGTTCCAGCCAGAAAACCTTGAAACTTTCATTCTTCTGCACTGGAAAACATTCTGCCTCTGCACTTTGAAATATGTGCAAAGATCCTTTTAACTGAAACTTGCATTTTAAATATTTAGATAGAGAGGTGCAACAGTTTCCACATTCTCCAAACATTCAAATTATTTTAAAATAGGCTTAAAAATGTTCAGGATGACTAATAGATCCCATGGGCACTCTTTCAAAATCCTTTTGACACTATGCTGGTAACACATACCAGAAAATAGCTTGCAGGCAATTTCCTGCCGTTTTCTCCTGGAATCAGAGGGGGCTCCAATTAGATCTACAGTACAAATTCAGCATCAGGAAATTCTCTTCAAACTGACATTTAAACTGTCGTGTAAATTTAATGTCCATTTGTACTGATTTATATAGTTGCTGTTTTAAGTTAGATGATTAGTACCAGATCTTGATGTGTAAATCAAAACAACCAATATTAAAGTGAAGGAGTGACCCTGATAACTTTAAGGCTTACTGAAACCGCAAGGTGGCTCCATTAAATTTTATTGCTTTCTTGCCATTTAAAAAAAAATCAGCGTCCATGTTAGCAGATGACTCTTTATTTGGACACAGTCTTGGTATTGAATTAGGCACCTATTCATTCAGAATAAAAACATGCCTATATACAAAAACAAAATTCCATTCTTCTATTATGTTACTGCCCATTTAGCATTCACAAATACAGCTGCAGATTTTATCTACATTCTAATGCTCTCCAGTGTGCAGTAAGGATTAACATACAGAGAAAAGTCATTTTATACATGGTTCAAAGTTAGCACCAATTCTGAGGAGTTTCACAAAAATTAAACTGGTTCAGACCAGATAAATGCAAACATTTCTGGTGTTTACCATTGTTAAAGAGATGCATGGCAAGTATGCTTATCTAATAAAATGCATAAATTAAGTACATATCAAAAAAAACCAGAGTCAAACATGAAAACATATTTTTGTTTCATAGAAAAAAAATCAAGACTGAAGTTTGTCACCGGTTTCAATCAATGAATCATAGCTCAAAGTTTGCAATGTTAAACTCTCAGTTCAGTGACATGAAAGGAATTCGGGGATATACATATACACAATAATCAATTAAAACCTTCTAACCGATTAAAGATTTAACAGCATCTCAAGTTTGTTTAATACATCCTTATCAGTGGTGTGACCCTTTGATCTTTTATTGATAGTATTTATCTCTCTCACTAACACCTGGAGGAGGAGTCAGGCTCTGAAAGCTTGTGTTTTCAAATAAACCTGTTGGACTGTAACCTGGTTCTGTGTGATTTCTGACCTTGCTCACCCCAGTCCAACACCGGCACACTCACAACAATGTTCTGAGAAATTCTCCAGTTAGATAAGTACTGCACAAGTGTAATATTGGGATATAATGTACATTGTGAAAAAATGATAGTTCCAGAACACTGAAACTGAGCAAGTGGACTTTAACAATCTTTTCTGGTCCTGCACATTTCTAAGAACAATTCACAGTATTATCAAGATTAAAATAAAATTTTGCACTTTTAGCATTCGTAATTTTTCCATTTGCACATTCAAAAGTAACACTGTCCTAATTTAAATTTGAATTAAAACAAACAATGACTGTTTCTCTGTTCTTCCTCCCCTATTAAATAAATCAATTGCTAGTCAGCAGCAGACAGCAGTGAGGCTTGTGTAAAAATACATTCCCTTCCATCAAGTGGGCACATGTAGACTTGAAGGCTTTTTTTTAACACCGAGACCAGTAATGCATTAAAACTATGACAATCAACACAATAACAACTGCATTTCAATGCCACAATTAAAATATTTAAAAGTTTATGCAGCCTCACTTTAAGATCAAATTATGATTTACAGATGTCCAATAACATCTCACCAACATTGAAATTTGTAATTATGTTATGATAATTACAGTTGCCCATCACAGACAACATATATACAATTACAGGCCACACTACAAGTGCCAATAGAACACAATGTCACAATGGATTTAGACAACATTAACTCCCAAACTTGATCTTAGACATTGAATCTAATGCATTTAGAACTCTTATGTTCACAACTGTAATATATGTCATGTTTCTAAGAAGCTAGTGTAAAGAACAGATCAGAAGCTTTACAGGGTTCTTCATTGACTTTGGAAAAAATACATTATAGGAAAAACTAAGTAACAAAATTTCAGGAAAAACAAAAGCCCCAAAAAACTTGAATAAAGGTTAAGTTAAAGCATCTTGTTTTGCTTCAGTCATAATTGTGAACTTGAGGGTACAATTAACCTAAATGTTAACAAAATTTAAGATCAACTTGCCAAACAAAAACCCTAAAGTATTTGAAATATTTTGAACATTTTGAACATCAACTTGTCGCAATCCTTACTTTGGCGGAGCCCAAGGGAAAATGACATCACATGGGACTTTTTTTTTCAAAATGTGAATTTCGAAAAGTTTTCCAGTTGCTCTAAGTTTTCAAAACAAGTTTTTCTACACAATTGAGAAATTAGTTTTAGTTTTAAAGTTACAGCTTGAATTTCATTTTTTTAATTGAAATACAAGATATTTTAATTGAAATTTCTTTAAAGGTCTGGTTACATTACATCCTATACAGAATAGGATATTCTGATCCAGTATCTTTAAGACACAAGGAAAAAGTTGGTAGGATTGATCTCTGATTGGCTATTAACAAAAACTTTTACATTTAACAGAAATAAAAGTTAACAATTTTGATTTCAAAACATTGCATGCTTTAGGAATGCTAGGTGTCAAATGTAAAACTATGCTACTCTTGTAAAGCTATGCAATTCCTTCATAATAGTGATAGCTAACAATTAGAGAAACTGAAAACTAGACCATTGATCCTTATACCATCTCTAGTCACCATCCAGTTAATGTGAATGTCAGGTGAGACTGGAAATTAAATTTAAAACTAAATATGAAAAACATCTGTGTGTAACTTTAGCAATGCTAAATGCAAAGAATTGCCTGAAATTCTGAAATATTTCTGTCAGTTTTTCAAATACTTATATTTTAGGTGAATTCAAACTCAGAACACTGTTTAAAATGACTAGCTATTGTATATATCTTTTTACTTCATTAGTGTCTTTAATTGATTTAATTGAACAACTTCTAGTCAGTTCTTTTAAAGTACGGGTCATTAGACTCATTAATCTGTGCACTTCAGAAAATCTACACCTTTAAGAGTTTGGATCAACTCTACTTACAAATATATTAAATTTATCTACACTGTTTGCTCATAATACCACAATTGCTTACAATTATCTTTGGGATTCATCTAGTTACATAATGGGGTGCCACTTTATTTCGAAATTGAAATTTTAGGTGAAAATAATTCACATTGCCTGAAATCTCCAATTGTCAAATTAAAAAAAATCTTTAGACAGCAAACCATGCTATTCAGGTCAACCATTCCATGTGGTAACAAATTCCGTATCCTCATCGCTCTGAGTAAAGATGGTTCTCCTGATTGGATTTATTAGTGACACAGAAATTGGACTGGGATGACTGGTTGGTTCCAAAGAAGAGCAAAGAAGGCTCCTTTAACTTTACACAGTAAAATGGAAAATTCTTCAAGGGATCAGTAGTGGAAATAAAAAAACTCCTACATGATCACATTCTAAATTGCACAAAAGACCATACACAACATATTTCAACAAGTCTTCACACCAGGGATGGTTATTTATCCAAAATTAACAAAGTGGTTATAATCCATAGCTCATGGATGGCATGTACTTATGTAGTAAACAACTTGCAACCTGAAATAATTTAGTTGGATTTGCTCCAATTTTTCACAACTTTTCCAAGGCTGTTTTCAAGATTCTGCACAGTGAAAATTCCCACATTCATACAAAGCAAAAGTAATAGAATGCACCAGTTATTGTTAGTTTTAAATGCTAAGTTTTCTTATTTTTGGGGTGTATGAAGTCAGATTGCATCATGCACAGACTACAATACATTTCACTCGCTTGTGTACAATTTATTATGGCAGAATTATAAAGATTCTGCACTTATAGCAGCAGAGCCTAACACAAGATCTATAGTAATGGATCTACAATTTTCTTAACAGTCTTCTTTCATCTATGACCAACTTTTTACGGTAGTGATGTAACATTCTCATACATCTTACAAAAATCTTAAAATAACTAAAAGCTCTGTTCATTCACATGATATAGATATGGTGTTACTGAGGCTGACGTAGTAAATTCCTGTGTGTGTGGGTCTAAATTGCTCGTATTCTGTTTCCATTTGATCGTAAAAGTTGACAGTACCAAGATACACATTTTACCAAATGCCATTAGAATGCCCACCAGGTGGAGCCAAAACTCTGGATACAGGTCGTTTTGGAAGGTGGTCATCAACTTGAGATCCTGCAAAGAACAGAATGAACAGCAACATATAAGAAACTGCCTTCCCCAACAAAATAAGTAAGGAACTACCAATATTATAATATTATCACATTCAACCAAGTCAATATTATGTGAATCAAAAAATTACCCCTTATTTTGATGATCTACAGAACCACAGTACGGATAGATGTGTGAAAAATCTCCGGAAAGCGATGTGACTCAGAAAAATGTAGTAATGCTGATTGAGCATTACTTCAATTATCGTCAATATTAATAAGCAGAAGAAAATTATAATATACCAACACATTAGAACTTAGATTTATGGATTTAACTGATTCATAATTGTTCAGTTGAATAATTAATCATGCTTATTCTTAGAAGTGCTCTGAGTAAATTAGCTCTGATAATGTGAAATAGCAAAATAATTTACTTCTAAACTTCACTGGAAATAAAACGTTTGATGAAAACTGGTCATCTCGTTTGATTATTCACCACATTCAATTTTGAAAACTTAAAATGCACACAAAGAACCATAGGTTAACAAAAGCCGAAAGAACTGCGGATGCTGTAAATCAGAATGAAAACAGAAGTTGCTGGAAAAGCTCAGCAGGTCTGGCAGCACCTGTGAAGAGAAATCAGAGTCAACATTTCAGGTCTGGTGGACCTTAGAAGTTAACTCTGAGTTCTCTTCACAGATGCTGCCAGACCTGCTGAGCTTTTCCAGCAACTTGTTTTTGAATAGATCAATAAATACCAGCTTTCTATGGGTAGAAGAAAGAAATGTATGAAGTCCATAAGATATATTTAAATCTTACCAGACAAACTGAAGCTGGACTCGTGCAAATCCCTCACTCCACTGTGACGTGTCACAGAACGGAATTGAACGTCTGGATGAGCTGGGGTTTCTTTCCCTACATTTAGCACCACTGCCACATCACCTACGTATGGGGCACGATCCACAGGCTTTGCAGTCAAATTCTAAAGACAAGTACAGTAATACCTAATTACCAGGTTACACTTATCACGTAAGATTTCATTGGAATTCTCCCCTGATAATTTCTCCTCATATAGTCTTCATCTTCACTCTATTAAGCTGTGGAAGACAGACTTGAAGGTTTATAGCAGACAGCTAGTTTAGCTATTCACTACAAATATGGCTATATCACATAAAGCACTATTAGAGAGAATGGAGAAAGTCATTAGGTTGATAGACATGCCACCCTCCCATTTAAATTCCTTCATCACCTTCTCTTCAAACAATGCATTCTAGAATTCGGTTCCAACTTCAATTTCCTCTCAAGTCGTAAAATATATTGGTGCCTCCTAAATTTGTGTCCATCTTTCTTGCAATTCCATGTTTGAATTCTTCTAATTAGGTTACTGCTTGTGCCACAGTTCTGAAATGGCTCTCAACAAAATCACAAGTAACATCCTATGTGACTGTGACCATGGTAAACTGACCAATCACAACTATTATCATATTTGAGCCTGACACGAACTTGCAATTACATAATCCACTTTGCCACAGACTACTTGCTTCTACTTCCATAATGAAGCTTGATTTATTCTTTTTATTGATTCGAGCATTGCTGCCAGCCTAAGAAGGTGGTGGAGAACTACATTCATGAACTGCTGTAGTCCATCTGGTATAGATAGGTCTAAATTGCTGCTTGGATTGGAACTTCAGGTTTTTGTCTCAATGGCAGCAGAAGGAGCAGTGATATAGTTCCAAATCAGGATAGTGAATGGTTTGGAGGAGAACTTGAAAGTGTGGGTGTTCCCAAGCATGGCATGTCCATCTTCCCAAATGGTAAAGGTTGACAGTTTGGATGGTGCTGCTACAGAAGGCAGCTTGGTGAACTGCCTCGGTTCATCTGCTGCTAAAATCCTCACACATGCCATTTTTGTTTTAGTTTCAACTGTTTCAATGGTCTCTTGCCCAGTCCCCTATCTTCCATCGCAGGTAAACTTGAGCTTAGCCAAAAGTATTTTGTCTGTAACCTAACTCACACGAAGTTCAATGCAACAATCACCCTTCACCTGTTGACTGTTATCTCCTAGTCTGGCAGTATCTCAATTGCCTCTCTCTATAGCTTCCTCTGTCTCTTTAATCCTCCAAGATCTCTGGAGCTCCCCAATTCTGTCCTCTTACACATGATTTTAAATCATTCCACAACTGCCAGCTGTGTTTGTAGTTGCTGAGCTGTAAACTCTGGAATTTCCTGTTAAAAGTTCTTCCCCCACCAATCCTCTTTATGATACTCCCAAACACCTAATTAATTAACTAAGCTTTTGGCTATCTGTCTTGAAGAATGGAATATTTCTGTTTTAGTTAAAGTTAATCTTTGTAAAAGTCAGATTCATGGTGCTCAGTCCACCAAAACTTACAGCCAATGTTCCCTCAGTCACTCAGAAAGTTCACACACACTAATTAGTTAACAGACACATTGACTTCTGGTTTCAGAAGCTGCTGCTGTGCACAGAACTTAGAGGTCCTTGCAATGGCAGGAAGAATGAGAGGGAGCATAGCTTGGAGAAAGTTTTCTCATGAAATCTTCTGCTCTTCATCAATGAAACGGGGCACATGGACACCATTCATTGGTCATCATAAGGCCAAAGGCACAGAAGTGCTTGCCATTGCCACCAATGGTGTTCATACTGTCGACACCATATTTAAAACTGTGCAGCAACTCCATTTCAGATGCTACAAGGCAGGAATAAATCCTCACATTGTGGTGCTTGGCAGTTATCACTGAGAACATGACTTACAGGTAAGGAAAGTACAGCCCCCACTTTGTGGAAGGGGATCTGCAGCTTTTGGTGGAGGGTTGGATGGAGACAGGGCAGTTCCAACTCCTGCAAACTCTTACAGGAGGCCACGCCACCAAACCAAGTCAGCTGGGACCCAAACTGCAGCCTGAGTCAGTACTCTGGTTTTGGTGAAGCAGAACAGTTAGTTGTAAATAAGCTCAATGATCTTCTGCATTCCACAAGGAACGGTGCTACCTAAATTCTGTCTGCTACTGCAGAACAATTGAGCTACCACTCACTCTAACTTTGCCACTGTATGCACGTCACCATGGCTCATGGACCACAGGACTCACTATTACAAGTGTCATGTCCAGTCAATAGTTCTCAATGATCTCATCCTCCCCCAAACGACTGACCATTCCTGCCCCCTGTGCTTTCTACTCTCTCACTGGGGTTACCTCACCACCTCCTCTGCCTCTTTATCATCAACCTCCATCATATTCAATCACTCTGTCTCACTGCAAGGGGAATGGGCCAACCTCATTGGCTGATGTCTCCACAATATCCTAACAGACCCACCTGTAATCCCAGGACTAGTTGCACTTGATCTGTAGGACCGAATGTGGTCACTCCCCTGAATCAGAATAGGAAGAGCCCATTGAATGAGAGTGATGGTTTCCATAACTGACCACAGTCCTCCTCAACCCCAATGAAGACTTCTCCCCTTTGACTTGCACAACAAGGTCATTTATTTGTTCAAAGCAATGTGTTTGCCATGAAAGACTACTGGCAAACGCTGCATGTGTGATACTGAGATGTATGGCGCCACACAGCAACATCTTCTCTCTTTGACTGTATAGTGCTCTCCACCATCACAAGCAGCCTGTCTCTCCCTCTGCAGAGAAGTAAAACAAAAAGCTCAAGCCACTGAGGCTGGCAACCTGTAACTATGCACTTCAGATGGTGTGCACTCAGAAAGCAATGTGACCCCACAGACAGGCTGGCAGTCTGTAAGTCAGTGAGTATTCACTAAGAAAGCAATGTTAAGTAGACAGAGGGTGGTGGCCTCCAAGAAAGCAAAAAGTGAGTGAGCACTAAGAAAGCAAGCTAAGAGCTATAATATGCATCTCCTTTTATGCATAAGATCCATGTGTGCCTTTGTGCACAAAGCAATGTGCAGAAGTATGCAAGTGTTAGGTGTTCCTGAGCTCAAAAGTAGTGTTGTTAGTTTGAAGTAGTGTTAAGTTGGTCCAAAGACAGGTATGAATGATATAGTGAGGTTGGTAGTTTGCCAATGTTGATATGTGTGGACAGAGAGTCAAGAATTCTGGCCAAGGAGCATGTAGTGATGTTATTATGAAGAAGTATGTGCATGATGGCTGAGACAAGCATACAGTGAGCTGTAGCCAGCAGACACCCAATCTGATTTACGTATTGGGAATTTGCATAGTGAATACATGCTTTTCAGGGAAGGAGAAGGGAATTGCAAATGCATCGAAATAAGGTAGTCTTAGAGGAAAATCAAGAGGAAAATCTTTCTCGATGTTGAGATACTGATTTTTAAATTCTCTGTACTTTTCAAACTTCCTCATCATGGTTCATGCTACACGGGGGAAGGAGAAAATTCCACCTTTTATTTCCTAAGTGACTTAGAGTCACATAACTTTGAGTACATTCTTGTGAAGCACCTTAGGATAGTTTGCTACATTAAAGATATTATATAAATGCAGATTGCCATTGTTTCAAATGGTCGTACTCAGAAATTGGTCTTAATGCATTTTATATTGCATGTGAATAGTTGACTCTATTCAAGTGCAGCATTACTTTTTTGATGCAACTCAGATTTATCTGCAGTTATTCCAGGATTCCAACGACAGACAACCAGCGCTGGCACACTGTGGCCATCACTTCTTCATGTGTAAGTCTAGGCACAAGCAGTAGCTGTATAATTTGGCCACGTTTTAAATTCATGCAATTATTGACATCAAGACCTTGCACTTCAAATATTCTTTGATTGCACTGATCTTTCATGGCACCTGGAAATCAGTTTGCCTTTGCGTTTCTTACAATTCTCACCAACAAATGCTAGCTAGAGAATCAACTGCAAGATTCTCTTCCCATTCTGGCACCATTCTAACTCACAACTCCATGTAGCCCCCTCAATGACATTATCTGAATACACACAAGTTCCATACACACACCGACAACACTCAGTAATACTTTACCAGCACCTTTGTCAGTCCCTTCATTGTTTCCAATTTGTCAAACTGCTAATTTCCTAAGGCACCAACAAGGTAATCTATGTTGAAATCATTAGAGAAATTAGAGATCATTTCTTAGCTGGAACAGTGGTCAGTTTTTAGATTCTTGTCTTATTTAATTCCCTATTGGAAAGTGTCCAGCTCTCTTCAGTTTTTATAGCAGTATAGGCAATATATGGAACCAAAAGGATGGAGACAGTGCATACAATACACTGTTATGCCAATATTGTCCTTATGTGCTTACATTTCATAGTTTAAACATATATATTTCAATAATACAAATATAAAAGGTTCTTCGAGAACTTGACAGGCTAGATGACGAATGGCTGATATCCTCTGTGGGACAGCCTTGTTCCAGAGGGCATAATCTCAGAATAAGGGGCCATGCTTTTAATACAGAGATAAGAAAGAACTTATTTTCTCAGAGCGTAGTGAATTTGTGGAATTTTTTACCATGAAGGGCTGTTGAGGCTGTGTTGTTCAGGTTTATCAGGCTGAGATGGATAGCTTTTTAATCAATAAGGGAATCAAGGTTGATGGGGAAAAGGCAGGGAAGTGGAGATGAGCAACAGATCAGCCGTGATTTCATTGAATGGTGGAGTAAACTCAAGGGGCTGAATGGCCTGATTCCACTCCAATGTCCTATGGTCTTAAGATCTAAATGCTGGTAAGTTTGCCCTTAGTTTTCTGCACGTTTATTTAACTTTATTTGCTGCTTTTATTCTTCCACTTTCTTCTCTTGTCTACTGTCTTCAATATGTCTTCTGAAATTCACTTTCCTAATCTTCTATTAATCATACCTTATATTTTCTTGTCTCAAACTAAACTGAGTTTTTCGAGGAAGTAACCAAAAAGATTGATGAGGGCAGAGCAGTATACATTGTTTACATGGACTTTAGTAAAGCCCTTGACAAGGTTCTGCATGGTGGTCTAATTTCTAAAGTTAGATCACATAGGATTCAGGGACAGCTTGCCAATTGGATACAATATTGGCTTGATGGTAGGAGGCAGAGGCTGGTGGTGGAAGGCTGTTTTTTGGACTGGAGGCCTGTGACCAGCAGTGTTCTGCAGGGATCTGTACGGGGTCCACTTTTGTCATTTATATAAAAAAATTTGGATGAGAATGGTCTTGACAAGGTGGACATGGAAAGGATGTTTTCTCTTGTGTGCAAATTCAGGATGAGGGTACATAGTGTGAAATTAGGAATTGCCCTTTTAGGACTCAAATGAGAATTTTTCTTTCAGAGGGGCCAGAGACTTTGGAACTCTACCATCCTGCAGGTCCCCACTGTCTTTCTTAAAATATTCTAGTGTGTATATTTTAATTTACATTCTTTAACAGACAACAAAAATGAATCAGGTTTCTCTACAGAAGAGTTCTTGGGACATGAAATGCCGACTAAAAACAGACAACAGCAGAATCGTTAACCATTTTACAGGCAATGCACAAATACTTTAAAAACATTTCTTTAAAAAGGGGATTTAAAGAATGGGTGTGGAACTAGGCAGATAACACTTTCAGAGGCATTATAAGTGCATTTGGTTGAATAGTCTCCTTCTCAGCTATCAAATTCTATGAATTTTAAATTATTACTTTGTGAAGATCCTTGGGTTTACTGGTATAGATTTAGATAGTACTGTTTCCTCCTCCTAACAAGAATCTTGGTGATATCAGCAGTCCTTTGGTGCTGTCTCTGGTTCCCATATAGGCCCTGTCCCACCTGCCTCCCTGCGAACTAATGCTGTTGTGCTGTCCTCTGTTCTATATCCTTAGCCTATACACATCACCTGTTTCATGCTCTTAAACTTATGTGCTTTAGCTACAGCTTTCTAAGACTAGGGCTCACTTTGTTGGCTTATCTCTTGCCACCTCAAAAATTAAAATTCCCTTTGAGGAAAAACCAGAATGTTTTCAAAGTTAGGTCAAGGGTTTCTCAAAGAATTCTTCACTTCTGAGAGGCTCCTATTATTTAAACTAGAAAACATTCAATCAAAATCTCCAAGACAGTAAAATTTAACCTTTTGACTCCTTCATTCTGCCCTCCATGTTCATTGCCTTCTGGCCAAGGTACCAAACTCAGCAGAGTAGGTGACTTCTAATTTTGGGGAAAAAAAAAATCTATACCTTCAGGTGGATAGCATTGTTGGGATATATCTGGTCAGACAGCTATGATTCAGTTAAAGGGAAAAAAAATTAGACATGGTGGATATTACAGCTTCACTGCATCCAAGCAGGATTGATCATTCTTCACTAACTTAAGTTACCCTGAAAATCAAATCAAAATCAAAATCGTAAAATAGCAGCAGACAATGTTTCTTTTCCTTATCTCCAAATATTTCATGATTTCAAATCAAGGATTAAAATCAATCATATGAAAGAGAATGTCATAAATTTTTACATGTCAGTGGAAAAAAGCATAACTATAGTCAACTCTACCTTTTCTCTCTGGATCAGCTTCTTGTACACAAACTCCGAAAATGGTCGAAGTGGACAGAATTTTCCTGTTCCCTCAGCACAAGTAAAAATTCCATCTTCATAGACAACACGCCCACGGCTGATTGTGACCAGTGGAACACCATGACATCGTACGTTCTCATGAAGGTTCACATCACCACCCTGTACTTGCGTGCTCACAGATATCGTTCTGAAACAATCATTTAATTCTTACTACACATGCAGTGATAAATTGTTGGAATATATGATAGCTTAAAACACAAAAGTTTTAAATTTCAAACTGATAATTTCTGAATAAAACGTGAACCAATATACCTGAATAGCTGGCTATCTAGGTTGTTTACATAAATACTGACCCTTGGCTAGGCCAACTATGCTTTATTTAAATCACAGTTCAAGTGTTCCAAATAAGAAAGAAAGTTAATTAATAGAGGAGCTGACACTCTCTAAAGGCCCCGGTGTCAGAAAGTCGTGCTTAACCTTATCTTGGCTCACAGGTCAGTTTAATGCTGAGAGATTTCTGGACAAACATTGTCTTCAGATGACAAAGTAAAACAAGATACTGTCTCACTGTTCACAAAAGGCAACATATCCTGTCCTACAGTACTATTTGAAGAGCTCCACAGCCTGAACTTTCGCTCAACCCCTACAAGACCAATTAACCAGTTTTTCACTGCATCACCTCATTGTGGGAGCTTTCTGTATGCAGACAGGTTGTCACAATTGCTTACAACAGTGACCATATTTCATTTGTGAAGATTATCCTATCCATAGAGACGTTTAGGATGCACTGAAGCTGAGGGACTTTGTAAATGCAAGTTCATTTTGAAAAAAATTATTCACTCATGGGACATGTATGTCACTGGCTGGCTAGCATTTATTGCCTGTCCCTAGTTGCCCTCTAGTAGGTGGTGGTGAGCTGCCTTCTTGAACCACTGCAGTTCATGTTCTGAGGGTGAACCCACAATGCCTTTAGGGAGGGAGTTCCAGGATTTCAACCCAACGACAGTGAGGGAACAGTGAAATATTTTCAAGTGAGGATGGCAAGTAGCTTGTTGGGTAACATGCAGGTTGTGATATTCTGCTGCCCTTGCACTTCGCATTTGGAACATTGTGAGCAGTTTTGGGTCCCAAATCTAAGCAAGGGCGTGCTGGCCTTGGAGAACGTCCAGAAGAAGTTTACAGGAATGATCCCAGGAATGAAGGGCTTGTCATTGAGGACGGGTTGAGGACTCTGCATCTGCACTTGATGGAGTTTAGAATGGGGATGCTGTGTATGTGGAGACAGAGTGGAAGAGATCTGATTGTATCTTAAAGATTACGGAAAGGTCTGGATAGAGTGAATGTGGAGAAGAAGTTACCACTAACAGGTATTTCTGCAGTGCATCTTGTACATAGTACACACTGCTACTACTGAGTGTTGGTGGTCGAAAGAATGGATGTGGTTCCAGTCAAGTGGGCTGCTTTATCCTGGATGGTGTCAAGCTTCTTCAGTGTTGTTGGAGCCGCACTCATCCATCGCACTACTGATTTGTGCCTTGTAGATGGGAGTCAGGAGGAGAGTTACTTGACACAGTATTCCTAGCCTAACCTGCTCCTGCAGCCACTGTGTTTAAATGACAAGTTCAGTTGAGTTTCTGGTAAATGGTAACCTCCAGGATGTTGACAGTGTGGGGCAGAGTGTGTGGGGGGTGGGGGTGGGGGGGCGGAGGGGGCAGTGGTGGTGGGGGGGTGATGTTCAGTGATGGTAACACCTTTGAATGTCAAGGGGCAGTGGTTAAATTGTCTTTTGTTGGAGATGTTCATTGCCTGGCATCTGTGTGGCGCAAATGTTCCTCGTCATTTGTCAACTGAAGCCTGGATATTGTTCAGATCTTGTTGCATTTGAACACAGATTGCTTCAGCATCTAAGAAGTCGTGAACAGTGCTGAACATTTGTGCAATCATCTGTGAATATTCCTACTTCTGACCTTATGATGGAGGGAAAGTTTTGTTTTAGCCTTTTATTATGGTCTTGAATATGTCCCTGTGATTTGGTATGAAATGAATGATCATTCTTGTATTTATCGTGCATGTCTTGCTCAACCGTTTTTAATTCATTCAGGGGATACAGGGTTCAGTGGCTAGGTCAGCACTCGCTACCATCCCTAGATGCCCTTGAGAAGGTGGTGACTACTAAGTTAACTTTTTTTTTAATATGCAAGAATGCCCATTTCTCCCACCATTATTCAGGGTGTCCATTGTGGCAAAACCTATGATCATATATTTCAAATCTACAGAAGTCAAAAATTCACATAAGTGTACAGGGAAATGGGACAATATATTTGCACCGATCCACCAACAATTTTGTTTCTGCTTCTGCCACATTCATAGGCTTGAGGATTGTTCCCCTTTTGGTCATGAATAACAAGCACCTTCAACATGAATCTAGGGCAATTTGTCTGCGTCCAGCATGCTAGAAAAGTCTGGTCCAATTTGCAAATTTCAGGAGAACCAGATCGCCTGCCTGTAAACAAAACTTAAAATGCATCCCCAGCTGTCTACCCTCAGCTGATGGCCTCGTACAGAAATGATAATTCCAACTTCTACATCCCCAAAGTTTGATCCCTGAGACAGCTAAAATAGTCCAAGTCATTTAAGATTGGGAATAATAGGGTTACAGAGTGGACTGACTTTTCAGTCATGGGTATAAGCATAGGGGAAAACTCCTGGACTGGATTTTCTCCAAAAGCCTTATATTAAGGTTTGATCAAAACTTATAGATCATGATACATACCTTGTAGCTTCTGGATCCCACACAACAATATCAGCATCAGCTCCTGGAACAATTCTTCCTTTCTTGGGGTACAGATTGAAAATTTTGGCAGCATTTGAACTAGTCACAGCGACAAAACAGTTTTCATCCATTTTGCCACCGACCTGAAAATACCAAATTATAATCATATTTACTTAAAAAAAATGAAGGCATTTTGTTTTTTTACACAATTAAATGTCACTGTCTCAGATCTTACAACATATAATGTTGTTTTCCAGCAACTGATTTAACAAGAAAACTGCACTCAGGACTAATTCTTCACTCTGATAGTTGGTTGAAGGTTTTCAGAAAATTTCAAAACAACTCATCTTACCAACTTTTCTCTTTCTTCCAGCTGCTTTTAACTCTGGAAACATAGAATGGATGACCAGCTTGTAGCAAAGGAAGGGAGAAAACAGATGGAAAATTCCAAAACAAACAAAGGAATTGTCAAAGATCCAAAAAAAAACCTGAAACAACTGCGGATGCTGGATCTTTAGCACAAAAACAGAAATTGCTAGAAAATCTCAGCAGGTCTGGCAGCATCTGTGAAGAGTAAGCAGAGTTAATGTTTCAGGTCCACTGACCTTCTTCAGAACCAACGGTAGCTAGGAAAAGGATAGTTTTTATACAGAAATTAGAGTGGGGAGGATTAGAAGGGTGGGTGGGGGGGAATGAGTAAATGACAGGTGGAGATAGACAGAAAAACAGTTGAACAGACAAAGGAGTGGTTAAAGGTCAGTCTGGGGAATCAATAGCCGGTAAGTGGGACTATTAGTGACTAACAATGGGTAGGGTGTGTTAGCAGTCCATGTAATGCCAAGGCCTGGTGTGTGGGGCTGGGAAAAGCATACAGAAAGATGGTCAAGCTGTAAACTTGTTGAACACAATATTAAGTCCAGAAGGTTATAGAATTCCCCAGTGGAAAATGAGGTGCTGTTCTTCCAGCATGTGCTGAGCTTCGCTAGAGCACTGCAGCAAGCCTGAGATAGATATGTTGGCCACGAAATGCGGTGGTGTGTTGAAATGGCAAGCAACTGGAAGCTCAGGGTCTTTTTTGCAGACAGTATGTAGGCATTCTATGGAGCAGTCACCCAGTCTGCACTTTGTTTCCCCACTGTAAGGGCGACCACATTATGAGCAGCGAATGCAATAGACCAGGTTGACAGAAGTGCAGGTAAAGTGCTGCTTCATCTAGAAGATGCATTTGGGGCCTTGGATGGTGAGGACGGAGGAAGTAAATGGTCAAGTGTTACGCCTTCTGTGATTGCAGGGGTAGGTGGTGAGAGGCTGAGGGGATTTGTTGGGAGTGTAGGAGGAGTGGACCAGGATGCCCTGCAGGCAACGGCCCTTGTGGAAGGCTGACATGGGAGGGGAGGGGAATGTGTGGCCATGGCATTCCACTGCCAATTTTGGATGAAAAGTTTATCTATTTTGCTTGCAATTTCCACCCTACTCTTATTTTCACCTGGTCCATCTCTGAGTCCTTCCTTCCCTTCTTTGACATCATTGTTTCCATTTCTGGGGACAGACTGGCCACAAAGATAAACACACCGACTCCCACAGTTACCTTGACTATACATCCTCACACGCTGCTTCCTGTAAAGAATCTATTCCATTCTCCCAGTTCCAGCATCTCTGTCACGTTTGTCCTGATGATGCCAATCTCGACAAGGGAGCCTCCAAAATGTCCATCTTCTCCAGCACCTCAGCCAGGTCCGACACATCTTCCGTACTTCGGACCTCACCGCCCCTCTCCCCTCCCATAACAGAATAGAGTACCCCTTTGTCCTCACCTACCATTCCACCAGCATCCAGGTTTTTGGTTTATTTTTCTGTGTTTTAAGATGGCACTGGAGAGTGGTGACACTATACAACACTTTCCACTGTATTTTATAACAAGATACATGTGATGTTTTGGAGTAGATTTGTAGCCGGGTTGTGGGTGTTGAGGTTGGTTGGCTCGCCGAGCTGGTTTGTTGTTCCGCAGACATT